AGGCTTCCCACAGAGCAGGGAGCCCGATGCGGGGCTCGATCCCAGGATCCTGGGATCATGACCTGAGCCGAAGGCAGACGCTTAACGACCTGAGCCACCCAGGCGCCCCTAGGGTTCTGATTCTTTCCACAGCCTGTCACATTTTATTAAATTCCTGTATCTCATTGATGATAAAGTTATCCATATTAGTGTGGGGCAATAAACAAGAAATCTAAGATTATCTGTACCCCGTTTGTAATATCTTCCCACTCTGTTTTGACTTGATTTTGACCTACAGTGCTTTCTTGTATTTGTTCATATTTGTTCCAAGACCCAAAATGATATTTCAGATCCCTTGAGATGATGCTATTAATAATGATACCTATTATCCACTATTACATTATTTACTCTAAAATTTTGGTGAAAACAGAAATGAGTTCAGTGCCTACGTTGACTTTCCATGTACTGTTTTCAGAAAGATTCTTGTGTCACACCCTCTTCGCACCAAATGTGGAATGAAATAACTGGCATAAGTCCTTTTCGTTCTTCTTGCCCTTCTCAATGACCGTGACTTTGCCACTACTAGCATAGTTGGAATTAGCACAAATGGCAAACAGAGGAGAATTTGTTTGTAATTTTCTTTATTCTTTTCCAGACTAAAGATAGATTTTTCTAGTTTCTTAACTAGCATATTAACTAGCGCATAATCATCAATATTTATTCATTACACACTGAATACGAAGTATTACAGAGTTTATGTGGGTTCTGTAATTTAGTGGTGATGAAAGTTTACTTATGTGTACAATATGGCTAAATTCTAAATCAAGGTTAATAGGCAGTTTGGTTAAAGGTAATCTAAACATTAACTACTTCTACTAGCTGATGTCCAATGTGTTTGGTAAATCAATATTTTGGAAAGACATTTAGAATGAGAGTTGTGGAACTTGTAATTTGTATTAACAATAGATTCCTGTGCTGTTTACTCAAGCCTTATATGCTATAAAAGCTTATTGATCGACCAGCTAATTTCTATAAAAATCAATCTCAGAACCAGCCTATTTTGGCTTTTTGAATATTTGATTTATGTAACATTAACATAACTAGAAAGAAATTCAGCAGATAAGAATAAAGTGGACTAGAAAGGTGATTTGGGGTTCATCATAGAAGTATTTTGAGTCAAGTCCAAGTACTGAAGAAATATGTATTAACATATTGGGTGAGCAGGTTCTTCCAGGTGTAAGGGACATCATGAATAAATGTTAGAAGGTGAAAGCAAAAAGACCATATATGAAAAATTATAAGATTTCCCTGAGAAGTATGAAGATTTAAAAAAAAGAGTATGTGAGGCTGGTTGGGTGGGTTGGGAGCAGGGGATAGAGCGTCTTGAAGTCAACAGATGAGTGTGCTGGAGCCACAGGGCATCTACAACTATCAGAAGGCTTTTATGAGTAGTATGAGGTTGGAAATTGACATATTTGGAGGAATAGTCTGGTGTTGCTTATAGATTGGACTAATGGAGAGACCAGGTTTGAACTTAACCAGATCTGGTTAAAGGTGTTGCTGGTAGATAGAGACAAAAAAAGGTTGAGGGATGGGTGGACAGGCTATACTTGCTTGGGGACATGTTTATTTGGAGAACTATATCAAAGTGTGAAATAACAAGAATAACAGCTTGGTGATTATTTCATCCCTTGTGGTCTTTTCACTAAGTGTTTACTTCGTCTTACTGATCCAACCACTCATTTCTTATCCTGTTAGGTGTATAGTTTGTGTTTCTTCTCTTTATAGTTCACATGAACTAATCCTTTCTAGAACTTTGATATCCATTCAGTTTCCTGCTTTTTATTTTTAAAGTTGAATCTGCCTCTAAGTGACTCTTTTACATTATTTAACTGCATTTACTACTGGCAAAATTCCTCTATGGATGAATGTTGGAGTGAATAATGATTTGCAGTGCATTTGTAGCATGCCATGGTTGCCCCACTGGGGAATCCTGAATTAGGTTCCCTTTTTAAGTGTGATCAACACACAGCCTTTTGCAGAGAGTGGGCAGGTCAGTTGAACTAAGTGATTATCAGTAACCTTAGGACTACCTTAGGAGTATGCTGTTTATTAGTGGAGGCTAAGTGATGTTTCTGTTTTCAGAATCAAGCCTAGTGTTAAAATAAATATTATTTACATCTACTATATGCCTGTAGCCTGAGAAGTAAACTCTCAGTGTAAATGTGCTGCTCCTCCACCAGTATCTAATCAAAGTCCTTTTGATTCTTCTCTCAGAGTTTTCTCTTTTATCCAGTCATTTTTAAAAATATATTATTTTCCCATTATTCAAGTGTTTACTCCTTTTTGACCTACCTTGATAGCCTTTTAAGAATTCCCTTTGCCTTGGGACATCTGAGCGTCTGCCTTCGGTTGGGGTCATGATTCCAGGGCCCTGGGATCGAGTCCCGCATCAGGCTCCTTGCTCAGCAGGGAGCCTGCTTCTCCCTCTGCCTGTCGCTCCCCGCCTGCTTGTGTGCTGTGCATGCGCGCGCTCTCTCTCTCTCTCTGACAAATAAGTAAATAAAATCTTAAAAAATAACAACAAAAAACAATTCCCTTTGCCTCTATCACTACCCTTTCATTTTTCCTCTTCAGGGCTGTCAAACTGATCTTCCTGTAATACAGCTTTGGGGCCTATCACTTCCTTAAAGGTAGTCAGTGACTCCCCCATCCCTACTAAATACAATCCAAATTGCTTTACCTGTCATTCAAGTTCCCCTAAAGTCTGACTTCAACATTCCTTTTCATATTTATTTCCCACTGCTTTTCTCAACATTCTCCCAGGCTCCCTACAGAACAGATGACTGACTTTTCCCTACTCCCACCTTGGGATTTACCTTCTCTGAACCTGTGTTTATTTTCGCCCCTCCCACTTGTAGTGTCCCCACCCCATCTCTACTCTTTAAAATCCTATGAATCTTTTTTTAATTTTTTTTTTAAGATTTTATTTATTTATTTGAGAGAGAATGAGAGACAGATAGCAAGAGAGGGAAGAGGGTCAGAGGGAGAAGCAGACCCCCCGCTGAGCAGGGAGCCCGATGTGGGACTCGATCCGGGGACTCCAGGATCATGACCTGAGCCGAAGGCAGTCGCCCAACCATCTGAGCCACCCAGGCGCCCTAAAATCCTATGAATCTTTTAAGGGCTAGTTAGGCCCCATCTCTATTATAAAAAGTCCCCTGATAGCCCCAGCTGAAAGGTATCTCCTTCCTTTGAACCCCTGTTTTGTTTGTTTTTCCTATTAACCATTTATTGAGAACCCATATTTGTGAGTTATAACAATATCAGGCTATAAATTCTGGGACTTTTTACCCCAACTCAATTGCAAACCCAAGTCAGGGACCATACTGTTTTCTTCTGTATAGCATCATTTTTCATCCTCCCCCTCCAACACCCTCCAAAGGCATGCCTTGCACTAGTAGATGGTCACTGCTTGAAGAAAACTTATTTGAGGGCCTGGTTGGACAGGTTAGTATATGAAAACTCTGCCTAGTTTTACTCATTTTGTCATGTGTCATGTATTCATGGGAGGCAAAAGAGAGAAGTCTGTTAGGCAGGCAGGTTCTACAATTTCTTAATAAGCCGTCCTAAATTTTAAAAAAGGTACTCCAAAATTGTGTGAAATTAGATGTTTGGCACTCAGAATTTAACTTTTAAATTAAAAAAATATTGTAATTACAATATTATAAATATTGTATACTTCATAAAGCAATATTACTTTATTTTTATCTCACTTCATATGTGGTATTTAGAAGTGTAGGTAAACCTACAAGAGCCTGTTTAATTCATAATGTATCTAAAAATACTAAAATATCTACCCACCATATATATAACAGTCATTTGGGGGAAATGCATTTAGCATTGCTATTTGGAACATCAGGAAACACATACTCCCCCGCCTCCAGCCTCCTGCACATCTTTCATAGTGAGATCGGGACTTCTCCTTTTACTGCCAGACCTGAGAAGTGTGATTTATACTCAGGTTCTTGGTGGCCCATGGCAGAATTGGGAGGATTCCAGTTGGGAGTGGCTGGGGAGGTGCTCGTCCACTGCACTACACTGCCCTGCCATGCTTGGATTTTAGGCTGCCTCCTTAACCCTACAAAGCAGATATTATTCTCCCTGTTTTAGAGATGAAGAAACTGAGGCTTTATGAAGTTTAGTCACTTGCCTGATGTCTGTACAAAATTAATCGGGGGCAGAACAAAGATTTGAACCCAGGGCTGTCTACCACCAGTGCCCGTGCTCTCTCTGCTAACCATGGTGCTTTGTTTCTCACTGTCTTTTTCACAGCTTTCCCCTGCCTCTCTGCCCAGGAAGCAGCCAGATTGTACTTTTTGAGTTGTCTAGGGGACCATAGTGGTAATGACTGTAGAGTCCGTCAGACCTGAGTTCTAATCCTGATCCTGCCACTTAATACCTAATAGTATGACCTTGGGCAAATAATTTAAGCTCTCAGAGCCTCGGCTTCCTCATCTGTAAAATGGGAATAATAGCTACTTTGCACACTTGTGCAGACTAAATGACACTGTCCATGAGCACTTTACGCACTTCCCACTACATGGCATGTGCTCCCTACATGGCGGCAGTAACTATCGTTGCGGTGCTTGTTATTGGATTGTAATAAGAGCACAAAAGATGGGAGACCATTAACAAGTTGCCTTTTTCCTTCTCCCTTGCTGCTTCTTCCTCTTATACACTATAGGAAAACATGATAGGGGGTAATGATGGGTCTTCTGGTCCACAAAGGTCTGAAATGAAATAAATTTACAATTCAGAGGGGCCTCTATGTTTGGGGACTCTCAGGTCCTTTGAAGAGGGGAATAGGTATGGGGTGAGGGAAAAGAGTGTGGGATACTGCCTGGGGGGCCAACTAGGGTGAGAGGAATGGCATTACAGAGGGGAGAAGCCAATCGTCTCCTTCCGAATGCTGCCATCGGACTCCCATTCACCCATCGGGTGGCATTAGTATGAGGTAAGAAGCCACACAGTGTAGCAGCAGGGCCTGCCTCCAAGTAGCACGTGGAAAGGAGCCACCATTGGGCGTTTGGCCAGGTCAGCTGTCAGCTGCCAAAGGACACAAAAGTCTAGGACTACGCATGTATGTTTCTTGAGTGATAATCTCAGTAAACTACATGAAAATTTAATATGTGTAGTAGAGAACTTTGCATATGAGAACATGTTCCATTTTCAACAATAATGATTTATTTGGAAAATTTAAAGCTGTTTAAAGTGTACGTATCTAGTAAGCTAGTGAGTTCTAATAATACTGATCTGTTTCTAATTCTGTAAATTAATTCAAGTAAATTTCTGTCTGTCAATGACTTTCTTTTCCTGCTCTGCTCTCAGGAAGAAGACAGCTTCCTAGAAAAGGTAATGCAATCCATGGGTGGTTATGTGTTTCCTGGGCTTGATTAACAGTTAACTGTGGTTCCTGGAATCTGTCCCTAGTCTTTCCCATGTCAGAGTCCTCTGACTCCACAAGACTCCACCAAAGTCCTGTCAGCTGTCTCTAAAGTGTGTCTGCAGGCACAGAAGAGATTTTTGCTGCACCAGTCATCACTGAGACCCAGTACATAAAAAGTACATAGGACTCCAGTTCCAGATTTGTATGTTTAAAATGAGAAGTAATTAAGAGCTGTCTTGATATATCTGAAAGCTCATGAGGTGGAGGAGGGTACCACTTAGCTGTCCTCTGTTTCCAGTGATAGTCAAACCAGAAGTGGATTTCTGTTGCATTAAGAATGATTTGGGGTTAGTGGCAATAATGATTAATTACTGAAAGAATACACAGATGTATGGTTAAGAAATGGAGCATAGAGGGGCGCCTGGGTGGCTCAGTCGTTAAGCGTCTGCCTTCGGCTCAGGTCATGATCCTGGGGTCCTGGGATCGAGCCCCGCATCGGGCTCCCTGCTCTGCAGGAGGCTTGCTTCTCCCTCTCCTACTCCCCCTGCTTGTGTTCCCCCTCTCGCTATCTATCTCTGTCAAATAAATAAAAATAAAATCTAAAAAAAAAAAAAAAAGAAACAGCATAGAGTCATCGAGCTGAACAAGATCAGAAGGGATCATCTGGTCCAGCGCTGTGCCTTCAGACAGGGTAAGGTGTTTTCTGCATTCTAATAGACAAGACAACCAAGGTCCAAGAAGGTTGAAACACTCACTCAAGTCCTACTGCTCCTGACAGCAGGGGTGTGGGGCAGAGGGGACTAGAACCCAGGTCTCCTGAATACCTAGTGAAGGAAGCTAGTGAAGCACTCCTGCAGTGCTGGGCCACCTTCCATGTTCAGGCTGGAGGGTGTCTGGCTCCATACAGGCCTATCAAGTAGAGAAACGTGGGCTTGAAAAACATTCTTAAAGCACTGTCACATACTATCTAATGTGATCTCCCCATTTGGTGGAGTTTAATGCATTTTGATGATGGGGATGGTGTACTGTTTTCTGCAGTAGTTATTAGCACTATGGTTTCAAAGTGTGGGCTTCTCAGGCACCAGATGTGTCTTGTTGAAAGAAAACAAAGTGTGCCTGATTTCCCTTTGAAAATTAGAATTCAGGATAATTTGTGGACTTTTGAGAAAGTATTGTTTCTTGTGCATGATCTTTCTCTAGACTTTACAGATACAAGTATGACATTTTGTATTATCACACATGAATTTGAAAATGGATAGTGGATGATGTATATAACCTACTGACATTTTATTAACCTTTTTAAACCACTAAGGATTGAGGCGGTTCTGCTTCCCAGCCCTTCCTTGTTAATAGTAGGCCATGTTGTCTTTTCATCTCAGACAGTGCCTTGTGTTGCCTTAATGACTTAGTACAAGAAAAGTGCCAGTTGGATGTCGAGTTTTTTAAAAAGTACATGAATCAATGCTGAATAATTTATATATGGTAAGTTTGGAGGCATCTGCTAAATCTATACACGTGTTGCGTTTGCTTCAGAAAGTGAGCAGAGTGCATTATGGACAGTGCTTTGGTTCAGATACCATGTGGATGCCTGGATTTAATACTTGCAACCGGAAAGAAGTTAGTGGATGAGCCACTGATAAGAAATTCTGGCAGCTACAGGGAACATGAATATCAAATGATAGAATCCCAGGGAAAGAAAGAAAGGAAGCAAAATGAATGTGAAGAAAGTAGATTTTAAACAGTAACCAACTGTCACACTCTTTTCTTATTCTCTTAGAAAAGTACAGCGGCTTTAAAAGGTCACCAATGCTTTTGAAGAACATAATGTTAAGCAGAGCCCTTAGCTCTGCTCTAGTGTACACAGTCTCTGGAAGTAGTGAAACACTTCTTTTCTTTTCCATAAAGCAACATGGCTGGGGGTTGGGGATGGAATTTACAGAATTGCCTAAAGTTGAAAGTACACAATATATAACCCTTAAGCTGGAGGTGGAGAAGGGGGGAAGATGCAAAAAATTGCTCACCATTTTCTCCACTAGGATTTTTCTGAAGGCTGCCTTCATATGACTTTTAATCTGTTTCAAACACCTTTTTGTTTTTTTAAAAGATTTTATTTATTTATTTATTTGACAGAGAGATAGCGAGAGCAGGAACATGAGCGTGGGAGAGGGAGAAGCAGGCTTCCCGCTGAGCAGGGAGCCCGACGCGGGGCTCGATCCCAGGACCCCGGGATCATGACCTGAGCCAAAGGCAGATGCTTAACGACTGAGTCACCCAGGCGCCCCTCAAACACCTTTTTTTTTTTTTAAAGATTTTATTTATTTATTTGACAGAGACACAGCGAGAGAGGGAACACAAGCAGGGGCAGAAGGAGAGGGGGAAGCAGGCTTCCTGCAGAGCAGGGAGCCCCATGCGGGGCGCGATCCCAGGATCCTGGGATCATGACCTGAGCCGAAGGCAGACGCTTAACGACTGAGCCACCCAGGCGCCCTCAAACACCTTTTTAATATAATTTCTATTTGACTATATAGACATAAGATAATTGAGTTTATTTCCCCAGCCATTTACAAGTTCAGATTTAGTTGTCACTTTTGGGTTTTTCTCTTAGATTCTTTCAGGAGAATCTAAGAAAGTAGAAGGGTATGTAAAAGGGGTCACAGCCCTGAGAAATCTCTGCTGAGTTATTAATATAAAGAGTAACTTCTGGACTCAGACCCTGAACTTTTCACAGTATTTCTGGCTCTTGGTATGCTGTATTTGGTTTACTATTTTTGGATCTTCAGAGTTACGAGTTTTAGTGCCTTAAGATTAGACCTTCCATTGAGCCTGAAATATTCACGAATGTAGGTGTAATGTGGAGAATTGTCTTTAATTTCTGAGGACCAGAGAGCCTCATTTAAATCAACAATGAAAACGGTAACATTTGTGGTAAGACCTGAGAGAAGAGTAAGTTCAAAGTCAATAGAAACCTTTCCGAGGACTGTACAGACCGCTGTGCTGGAACGGCCCCCAGGTCTAGGGCGGCGCGCGCACTCCGCCGCGACCGTACTGCCAAAGTGCTTGTTCTGCGCGTCACCCCTGAGAGGATTTACAACACACGGTGCACCACATGATGAACATAATAAACCCAAATGGAATGCTTAACTGTTAAGCATCTAAAAGAGGAAGAAAATCTTTTAACTGTGGGAATCCGTATCAAGTGCGTTCTGACCAGGGATGTCCCCAGTAAGAAAAAATGACAAATCTTAAGAGATGAAGATCACATTGTACCTACATAAAGCAGAATATGAAGGAGATTAGGTTACACAAATTTTTAGAGACCTCTTTGAATCTCCATTTTCATCTCTTAGGAGAAATCCCTTCTGCAGATGGTTCCCTTGGATGAAGGTGCCAGTGAGAGACCCCTTCAGGTCCCCAAGGAGATCTGGCTTCTGGTAGATCACTTATTCAAGTACGCCTGTCACCAGGTAAGTGATCGTGGGCCTGCCCTGCAACTTTGGGAGGTGTGTGAATCCGGTAGGAAATGATAATACCTCGTGTCAGTATAGGGCTTGTAACTTTCCCGAGCTACATTCACCGAGCAGCACTATCAGGTCATCTGGGCAGATGGAAGTGTCCTTATTTACAGATATGAGACTTGAAGCCTGCAACCTAAGTGATTCAGCTAAGACCACAGCATAAGTGTGATGACGGAGCCAGGCCCAAACCGAGCACGCCTGTCTCCTGACTACACACACTTTCCCCTGGACCGCTGTGTACCTCAGTCTGTAATGCCTGCTTTGGGTCTCGTGTAGGCATTGCAGATTTTAAAGTCCAAAGCACACTTCAAGCCCATTTCTTTAATTTGGTTTTCCTTTTTTAATCCTATCTAAAATGCTAGCTACCTCCAACCCAACCCCCCAGAAAGAGAAATTTCTTGGGACTAAATTGGAGGAAAATGTTTTCTTACCTACTGAAGAGTAATAGAACTCAAAGGCAAGGTTTGGTGTGGGCATGCCATTTACCTCTGCCCTAGCCTTCCCTAGTATCAGTATCTGGATGTGGTTCAGCTGTTTGGACTCTGCCTTCTACTTGGCAGGAAGCTAGAAGTGGGGACACCTCGTCACCCACTCTAGCTATCTAGTCCTCTGCCATCTCAGGTATAGGCTAAAACCTCTGAAGATCATGTTCTGTTTTGAAACAAAATTTCACGCAGATTATACAGATGATAAATGGAAAAGATGCCTTTGTCACACCTCTGTTCCTAATCACGAGTACACATATTACCCTTCCATTTGCATCTTGCCACTCTCTCTCTTTTTTAATTTATTTTTTTTATTAACATATAATATATTATTTGTTTCAGGGGTACAGGTTTGTGATTCTTCAGTCTTACACAGTTCACAGCGCTCACCATAGCACATACCCTCCCTGCCACTCTCTTGATTCCTGGGTGGTCTTCAGAACCTTAGGGCTGATTATCTTGCCTTGTTCCATTCATTGTGACCTCTCTGGTAGGAGGACCTGTTCCAAACCCCTGGAATGCAGGAGGAGTTACAGCAGATCATTGATTGTCTGGATACTAGCATTCCTGAGACAATCCGTATCCTTTTTGACAAAGGCCTAGGAAGCTGGATGAAGAATTTTTGACCAAACTCTCCTTCCTATCCACATTTGAGTTTTGTGTTTCCATCTTTACTTTCTTTGTAACTGTCTTTTATTATAAGGTAATCATTGACTCTGCAGTTGCTTTTCAATCCCTTTCAGGAACTTTTGACTTCTCTCTGTCTCAGACTCTTACTGATAGGAATCAAGGGGTAGGTAACAACGACTTTTAATAAACGTGGAACATAGGACCCACAGCACTGGTACTGTTCTGCTTCAGGCCATTGATCACTCCTGCCACCACATGTGTTGTCACTAGGACATGGAAGAGGATGGGAAACATTGGTGACTAGTTTCAGGGACTGATGCAGTGTGAACGTCATTCTGCACACCATATTCCCCTGACTCTCAAGTTGAGCCAAACCTCCCAAGAGTCTTTGATCAATTCTGTAGCAACTCAGCTGCAGCATACCTGGACCAATAAAATATCAAACCCCAGTTAGGATCAGTGTGCCCTGAATAATAGGAAGGAAACTGTCCCTGAGGGAGCTGGAGGAAGAAAGCAAATCGGGTCTCTGTGTGGCCGTTTTCCTGGAGCCCCTTTCCCTTGACTTAAATTAATCCAGCTGGCAGTAATCACTCTGTGGCTGAAGCACTGCTCATTTTCCTGGAAGCCCTGCCAGAGCCCGTCATCTGTTATGAGCTGTATCAGCGATGCCTTGACTCTGCTCAGGATCCCCAGAACTGCCGACAGGTGAGTTTTACTGCTCTGAGGATGTGTCTGGGGCAAGTGCCCCCAGAGAGAAATCAGTTTCAGATGTGTAGCTAGCTATGTGGTAGGATGGGTCTGAATTTGTCACTCATGGCAGGACACCAGCATTGAGAGTTGGGACTCGTAAATTTTAGGTTATTTCCTGTTATATTTGCCACACTTTTCTAGTTGGCCTATTGAGTAGGGCAGATACCTCTACTCTGGCATAGGATTGGTGAAGCTGATCATGGAATTCTGGCTGATATTACCAGGAAGGGTCCATGACACTTGTGAGCCTTTCTCCTTTTTGTCTTCTTGGTGTTTTTTTTTTTTTTTTTTAAAGATTTTATTTATTTATTTGCGAGAGAGCACAAGTCGGGGGTGGGGAGGGACAGAGGGAGAGAGAAAAGCAGACTCCCTGCTGAGTGGGAAGCATGCCGCAGGGCTCGATCCCAGGACCCCGAGATCATGACCTGAGCCGAAGGTAGACACTTAACCAACTGAGCTACCCAGGAACCCCCTTGGTGTTTTTTGTTTTTTTTTTTAAGATTTTATTTTTAGGGACACCTGGGTGGCTCAGTTGGTTAAGTGTCTGCCTTCGGCTCAGGTCATGATCTCAGGGTCCTGGGATCGAGTCCTGCATCGGGCTCCTTGCTCAGTGGGGAGCCTGCTTCTCCCTCTGCCTGCTGCTCTCCCTGCTTGTGCGCTCGCTCTCTCTGACAAATAAATAAAATCTTTTAAAAAAAGATTTTATTTTTAAATAATCTCTACACCCAGTGTGGGGCTCAAACCCACAACCCTGAGATCAAGAGTCGCATGCTCCACTCACTGGAGCCAACCAGGTGCACCTTCTTGGTGTTTGTTTTTAATCTTGAAATAATTTTGATGCACAGTGGCTGAGAATACTATTCAGTCAGACTAGTGAGTATTGGGAGGAGCTCCCATCCATGCTAAATGACATTGCCTAGAAAACCATTGAGCTTGGCAGATGCCATGGCTACCTGTCTGAGGAGATGGGAAAAGAACAGATTAATACTAACCTGCTTGTGAGGTGCGGTATGTGTGTGAATGTGTGATGACCACATCACACATATGAATGTGGCCTGGTCATTGAGTGTACAGGGGCCAAACAGTATGACCTTTTTTTTTTTTTAAGATGTTATTTATTTATTTGATAGAGAATGGGAAAGAGAGTGAGAGAAAGCACAAGCAGGGGGAGCAGCAGAGGGAGAGGGAGCAGCAGAGGGAGAGGGAGAAGCAGACTCCCCGCTGAGCAGGGAGCCCATTGCGGGGCTTGATCCCAGGACCCTGAGATCATGACCTGAGCCAAAGGCAGACACTTAACCAACTGAGCCACCCAGGCGCCCCCAGTATAACCATTCTGACTTGGAAGTTTTCATTTGGCAGGGACTCTGGTAGTCATGAGGAAATAAAAGAGAGTTGTGACAGATGAATGAGGTCCTGTATGGGTTGGATTATAAACTACTATGACAGCTTTAAGCTCTTCTTAGTCCCTTTCACTTGTTCTCACTGCCCACCCCCCTTTTTTTAAAAACAGGTGATTTCCCAGCTTCCAAGATGCCATAGAAATGTTTTCCATTACTTGATGGCATTCCTTCGAGAACTCTTAAAATTCTCTAAATACAACAATGTCAGCGAAAACATGATTGGTAAGAGTACTTCATGAGAACGCCCACATGAGCAGGGGGGCGGGCTGGTTGGGATGGCCTCCATGTCCGGGCACATGGCCTGCTGCCTTCATCCCCTGGCCCCCAGTTTCCCATCCCTGAGGCTTTGCTTAGGTTGTGTCTGACAAAGGGTTTCCCTTTTCCTTTCTCTCACCCTCTAGCCACTCTTTTCACTAGTCTTCTCCTAAGGCCTCCACCCAACCTTATGGCAAGACAGACTCCAAGTGACCGTCAGCGTGCTATCCAGTTCCTTCTGGGGTTTCTTGAGAGCGATGAAGACTAATGAGCCTTTTCTTCTTACTACTCTCTGAGATTCTAGAGGTGGAAGATCTTGGGCACCAAGTATTTCAGAATGATTTGAAAAGTCATGCCACAGGAAGGGTCTGTTGCAGAATTTTGAGGCTGTTGGCATGAAAAGGTTGTTTCTAGTGCAAGAGGAAGAGAGTTTCCTAATCCCTCCCTTACCATATCCTACACAGCAAAATACTTTTAGACTTATATTGCCAAGCCAAAGGTACCATATTTTGGTGTTTTTGTGTTCTCTCTTTATGAGGCAAAGAGATCTGTATTTACACTCCTTTACCTGGGGATGTGTTCGTTGCCCTCCTGCCCAGCTATCATGATTGTCCTTAGCACCCTAGGCCTAGATTCTGAGATGTTCCTGTTCTAGGTCTACAAGCACTACGTGCTCTAGCTCCGACTTGTCTGTAGTCCTTTGTCTAAAGCACTTTTGCCTGACCCCCTCCCATATCACCCTTTTGCACTCCACTCCATTAGTTCTATTACGTCGAAGGAAGTCTGAGTGAAGCTAGCGACTCCTCGGATGTCCCCAGCAGTGAGTTAACCATGTACATGTGGTTGTGACATGCATTTGTGCATTTCTACTACGGTGGCATCTGTATGTCTGTAACATTGGCCTTTTCCTGGATCTGCACTGGGTGGAACCATATTCTCTTGTCTCAGACCACATTTACTAGCAGAACTTTAGGCTAGAGATGACATCCCATTGATGTGAGAGAATCACCATCAGAGTGGAAGCACTTTGAGCATTTCAGAAGTGAGAATATTCATGTTTGACAGTTCCTGCTTTCTACCATCCCTTTCTGTTCTTAATCAAATTTTACATGAGAATTAATCCTGGTTGTCTGGGGGACCCATTCCCCACTTAGAAATCCACCTCCAGAGCAATGCTTGCATTGCAGTCAAAAAGGCAGGCTGGACCTCAAGTGGGCCTCTCTGGTGGTACTGCTCCTCCCCCCAGCAGGGTATTATGGATAACCCTTGGAACCCCCTCTCTGGTCTCCTGAAATACCGGGGGGCAGATGTTGCCCCCTCCCTCATCAGGCTGGCTCTGGGCTTTACGACCAGCTCCCCATGGCTCCTAGTCACCTTATCGAGTGTTACGGAAAAGAGACTATGCAGTGGGCCCAACGAAGCCCCTTTCTCTCCCACCCAAGACAACCCTCTGAGCTTTTCATTTACTCAAGCTCTGTGGGGCAGCATTCTTTTTTTTTTTTTTTTTAATTATTCTGTGTTGGTGGGCAAATCAGCTACCAGCCACTGACTGCAAAACTGCCTGATGCAGTTGGCTTCTTCCTGGATTTCTTTCATTAAAACCACCCTGAGTCAACTCATTCTTGACTGTTAACATTAAATCCAAGGAGCCTAATGTACGGACTCTGTGTCTTGTCTTGGGCATTGACTCCTGACTCTTCTAGCACATTGAAGGAGAGAGCCAGGGGAAACACCACTGCTGAATGGTTCCTCAGTTCCCCCCATCTCTCGTAAGTTGAGTTCTGTGGGGGAAGAAAAGGTATGTATCCTGTGATATTCTGGTTAAACCCTTTCCTGATTTGGAGTTACGGAACTAGGAGTCAAGTTCCTGGTGCCAAATAGCTGCAGATCTGATAGGTCAGAACTTCGTTAATGGAAGATTGTGAGCAGAATGCTTTTGTCATCTGCATTAGGCCAGAAAGTGATCATAGGAGAGGCAGATTATAGAAGCTGGGTCAAGGTCATAACACAAAGACAGGGAAATGACTGTCCTGGGCACATTGTCTAGTATACTGCCAACCTGGGATCTTTGGATCATCAAGGATATGGTTGGTGGGGACCGAATGCACCATCCTAGCTCTTTGCTTATGAGGCAAATGCACTAAATTTGTTTACCGCCTCTCCATTTTTCCAGCTCTGGCCCTGGGATGTATACAGCATTAAGGGTTTGAGACAATCTCTAGGTAGGGAAGACAGAAATGGAGTAGATGTAAGAAATCTGCTCCCCTACTGTGCCTACTCCAGCACGCCAACCTCTAATTCCTAAGTAACTCTAATGCACTATTTATTTCATAGCTCCTCTGAAGGAAGGAGTTCAGATCCAGCTGGTAGAGAAGAACTCTGCATCTGTATTGTTTTAGGGAAGAAATGGTTCGAACCCACGTGATGACATTGCATTAGTTTCCCCTTTCACTGTTTTCTGGTTCTTATTCTGTAATTGTTATATTTTCCAGAAATGTCTTGGTCACTAAGCAAAGCTGCTAGTGGGATTCTGTATTTTGTGTCATCTTTTTTATTATAATTTATTGCAGATTTTTTTCTGAATAAATATATGTTGTGTGAAAAATCAGTGTGATCTTGGTAAAGAAAAACTGAGGAGGGAGGCTTATGTCACTGGGTCCCACTTGACTGCAGTCCTCACAGCTATGACGGTACCGTCATTTCCTGTCTTACAGGGAAATCTAAGAATTCTCAGTATATTTGCCCTTGGGTGCGAGAAGAAGCCACGTATTTTCAGAGACTAAGAAGGAAGTCACAGCACTTCCAGAGGCCAGCCCAGGATCTTATCTTAACCCTGGGGATTCAGGGAACAAAATAACACTGTTAGGGAAAAAGATGTTGATTCTTTATGCATGTAAATGTCACACCGGGTCAGATCCTTGATCATTCCACCCCCACAAACGCCAACATACACATTTTGGGAGGATGCAGTGTCCTTGCCAACATAGCCTCAGCAGTTTAGACATGCCCCTACACCTGTTTTCACAGGATTCATTTGGCAACCTTTGAAAACCAGTTTTGAACCTTTGTTACCTCTTGGGGGGACAAAGTCCATAGATTTAGTACTTTGGGGGGCTCTAATCTGAACTTTGAGAGGAAACCCCTAATTTGAGCATGGTGCCTTTTATTCCCCTGCCGATCTCCATGTGGGTTCCGTTCCCTTTGAGACCAAAGAGGCCTCAGCTGGAGCTTTCTTGGCAACCAGGGCCGTCTTCCAGTTCGGTCTGACTATGAGCTTGACCCTGATGAATGTGCTGATTCAGTGTTGTCATCAACAGTTTTTTTAGCCCCACCCGCAGCCTTGGCAGAGGAAGGTGTTTCCTTTTGAGAGCAGTGTCCCCCCAGCGGGCGGAGACGACTGACACCCAGCAGTTTTTACACAGCAGCAGGCAATGTGGGCCGAGCAGCCTCAGTGACTCCCTTCCCAGAGGTGACAAACTGCACCCCTGGCTACTGTTACAGGAGAACCGCTAGGGTCTTTCGGACCACAGGGCAAGTGGATGACCTGGCTCGTGGTGTAGCCTAATAGTTTACAGCTACACACTGCCCGAGTGGGAGCGCCAAGTGTGAGGGAGAGAGCCTTAGGGATCCAACCCCATCTCATGGTTCTGACGGGCTGAGTCAGGCTCAGAAGGGACAAGGAGGGACTCAAGGTCACTTAGGTTAGTGACACAGCATGCCACAGTGGGGAAAAAGAGTTTAAACTTTGGTGTTAGACCTAGTTCTTTCTTCCAACTTTTTATTACAAAACCTTTCAAACGTACAGAAAAGTCAGAAGGATACAGTGAACACCCTATACCCTTAACTCACCACCTGTTAACATTTTGCCACCCTTCATCTCAGAGAGGTCTGTCTGGTCTTCGCTCTGGACTCTGCCACTTCCTCCTTGTGTGTGACCCTGGACTGGCTAGCCTGTAGTTTCCTGGCCTAGAAAATGGAACGGGCATAGCACTTATTTTGATGACTTAACTACATCTCCTCACTTCCCTCTTAAAAACTCCTTAGTGACTTCCCAGTGCATTTAGAAGAAACTCCAAACTTCCCATGGCCTACCAGGCCCTGCATTATTAAATGAGAAAGAAACAACGTGGCAGGCACAGTACCTGGCACGCAGTGGGTGCTGCATAGATGTGAGCCTATGCCCTGCGCCCCTTCGCTCTCCCCTGTATTTCACTGATTCTCTCACACTGCCAAAGGCTTTCTGGCTTTCATTTGATGTTAACCTTGTCAGCTAGATACAGTCAGACCCCACACTCAGCCTACTCCACTGCCTTCCTCCCTCCTGCCCACCACAGACACACCACAGTGCCCCCTTCTTTTTTTTTTTTTTTTAAGATTTTATTTACTCATTCGAGACACAGAGATACAGAGAGAGAGAGAGCATGAGCAGGAGGAGAGGCAGAGGGAGAGGGAGAAGCAGGCTCCCCGCCGAGCCAGGAGCCGGACGTGGGGCTCGATCCCAGGACCCTGGGATCACGACCCAAGCCGAAGGCAGACGCTTAACCATCTGAGTCACCCAGGCGCCCCCCACAGTGCCCCCTTCTATACTTGTGTATTTCAGCCTTCTGCTGCACATTTTTGGGGAGTAGGGGTGAGGTGTAAAAGGATGAATAATGAGCTACCGTCACCAGCATGTGACACCTGGCTGTTGTTGAGCCTCAGGAACCACACCTGCCGTTCTGCCCATCCCCCCAGGCGCCTCCTTTTGCTCTTTCCTGCCCTGCCCTGGGTGCCTGGTTCTTGGCCCTTCTTTCTCTCTCTGCTTTGTAGATAAATCCCCCCTCTAGTTTCCACCTTTGCTGCTCCTACCTGAATTGGTTCTTACCCAGCCAATGCTACTTACCTTCTCCCTTGTCTGTCCTGTGGAAGCTGCTCCCATACCCCAGGCCCCCAGGTGAAGAGGGGCTTGCCTTTTCTTCGATCACACTTTGAAGCCGTGGTTTTGTGCCACTCAATTCCCCTTCTTCAATCTAGATGTGCTTCTCAACCCTGGCTACTCACTAGAGTCATCTAGGGCATGTTTCTCAAAGTGTGGGCCCCAAATGAGTATCACCTGGAAACTGGTCTAAATCAGTGGTTCTTTTTTTTTTTTTTTAAAGATTTTATTTATTTATTTGACACAGAGAGAGAGACAGCTAGAGAGGGAACATAAGCAGGGGGAGTGGGAGAGGGAGAAGCAGGCTTCCCGCTGAGCAGGGAGCCCGACGCGGGGCTTGATCCCAGGACTCTGGGATCATGACCTGAGCCGAAGGCAGACCCTTAACAACCTGAGCCACCCAGGCGCCCCTAAATCAGTGGTTCTTAACCCTGGCCACAGAACCCAGGGTTTTAAAAAATACCAGTGCCTACATCCCACCTTAGAATGTTTGAATGCTCACCAGTAATGCTCCCCTGCCCCCACCACTGCACTCTGACACTATCCTTTCACTCCTCCCAATTAGCTAAGCTCTTCCCCACCTCAGGGCCTTTGCACATGCCACTTTCCTCTATCCAGAAACCACCTCTCTTGTGCACTTTAGAATAGCTCAGCTGCCATCTTTGCCAAGCCTAACAAAGTCACCACCACCCCCAGCACCTCCATTCCATTCATTTTCTTTGCTCCCATTCCAGGGCTTCCTGGCATAGCCTGGTAGCTGGCTGACTGCTCCTAGGACTGCATATATCATTCATTCCTCAGTCCTCCTCTTCCTGTCTTGCTGACCCTTCATAGACTTGCGCCTCAGGGACTGAGAGGCAGGAAATTGCTGTGGTTCTTTGCATAGGCTCCAACAGCCGGATTGCCTGGATTCAAATCCCAGCTCTACCACTTTTAGATGTCCAACCTTAGGCAAAAGTAGATTGACCTCTCTAGGCCTCATTTACCACATTTTGTTTGTTTGTTTGTTTGTTTGTTTATTCATTTGAACGAGCGAGTGAGCAGGGGGAGGGGATAGAGGGAGAGCGAGAATCCCAAGGAGACTCTGTGCTGAGCATGGAGCCCAGCACGGGGCTTGATCTCAAAAGCCTGAGATCACGACCTGAGCTGAAATCAAGAGTCAGACGCTCAACCAACTGAGCCACCCAGGCGCCCCAGTTACCCCATCTTAAAATGGAAGTAATAATAGTATCTTTCCTCATAGGATAATCATGAGATGGTATCAGCTAGTACATTTCAAGGGCCGGGAACTGTGCCCACTGCATAAGTACTAAATAAATGGCAGCTAGTATAATGACTCCAAAACCTTCCACTGGCCTCAAGGCCCAGACCTCTCTTCCTCAGCCCTTCCCCTCTCAGCAGGTGGCCACACCCTTTACTTTGTGAAAATGTCAAAGTGGTTAGCTGAAGCAGCCCTCAAAGCCTTGCTCTGCAAATCAAAATGTCACAGCTTTACCTCACCCCTCCCCCTTCCCACCTGTGTCAGAAATAAGTGGTCTTCCTTCTTGCCTAGGCTAACTCTTCCAACTGTGCTTGGAGTCCATCTCTTCCCATCCTCACTGGACTTGTTCCCATCATTCATCACCACCACCCCACCCCACCCCCTACCTTGCATCTTCAATATCAGCCATTCATTCAACAAGTGTTTATCGAGGCCTCCTGTATGCCGGGCGCTGTTCAAGGTGCTGATGATATAGCCGCCACGGTGCTTTCACTAGGAGGGTGGGGTGGGATGGAGTAAGCAGACAGAAATAGTGCACAAGGTAACTAGAGAGCATGACAAATGCTCTGGAGAGAATAAAGCAGGGTGACGTGCCAGAGGGCACAGCAAGCAGACTTGGTCAGGGAAGGTTGCTTTGAGGAGGT